TTTTGGACACACAAGAACGCAACTTTTCTTCTATTTAACCGATCTTGTAACTTTAACGGTCTTCAAGATCCCCATTATTCCCCATGTAGGTACCTCATTTTAAACTGGACACCCTCTATACGTGTGCGAATTTTCAGGTCAATACACAAATCGAAAAAAAAGCTTCAAACGGTAAAATCGCAAAAGTGCTTTACACGCAAAAAAAGCAAGAAACGCTTTCTGTGTGGCCGTGAGCTTAGAGAGGTAAAAAATGATATTATTGCTTAAATTCTGCGACTTTTATTGAAAATACACAGACCTTCAAGCTTAAGATTTAAATGTTTCAGTTAAGCTCAATATCAATTTACGAAAAACTGTGAGTAGAATTTCACAAAAGGTGAAGACTAAATGTTAATTAATTAGAACTTTACATTTTTCAGCATTTGTTCAGAGAACTTGCTAATATTTTCATTTAATTAGAATTTGTTTGTATAATCATAGACAAAGTAATAATGTAGGTATTGAAAAATATTTAATATATCGAGTGAAATTGAAGTGAAAAATTGGTAACAAAATTACAAATTTTATTTGACATTTGTAAGTCAAAGTAAAAACTAAGGCAAAAACCATTGGTAAAAACAGTAGCAGAGGCAACACTGTGAAGTGCATTCGTCAATTGTGGTCAGGGTGCATCTACACTATCCTAAAAACGGCGTAACGACATTGAATCGATTTCCAGTAATTCTATTGGCTGAAATTTTTGACAGATGATTTTGACAGATAAAATTTCTGACAGATGAATTTTTCAGCCAATAGAATTACTGGAAATCTATTCAAGGTAGTTACGCCGTTACGCCGTTTTCAGGATAGTGTGGATGCACCCTCAAATAACTATTTTGATGACATGCATGCGAACTTTATCTTTAAAGGCCGCAATTTTACTTGCATGCAACGCAACAAAAGTTGCAGCTATATTACGCAGCTAAGTTCCAGTTCACTTTACAGACAGCAATTTTTTACGGAAATATTTTGTTGCATTAGACATTTATTAGCTGCATCGCGTCATTTGCAAATTTCTATTATTTGGCTTATTTTTATTTGTATTTGAAGGGTCCAGGAGAAAACATGATAAGCGCCAAGAAATTTTAGGGTTTTACTAGTCTTCTTATTCAAAGGGTTTTACAATATTACAGTAGGTTCAACTTAGAGGTGGGAATTCTAGTTCCTTGGGAGGAACTAGTTCCGTAGTTCTAGTTCCTCCAGAGGGATAGTTCCTTGAACTAGGTCTTTAGTTCACAATAGTTCCCGACTAACATTGACATCCCCCTTGCTTGCTAATGCGTTTCGTTGTCAGTCAGAACTATTCACAGTATGATCTGTATAATTTTTATAATGTACGTAGATATAACGAGACGTGTAATGGTGTATGTTAAAAACATATATAGGGAAATTGGAAGAACTTTCGTTGCACGTCATTAATGACACCATGCGTCGTCTTATGGAGTTTGCTGGTGGTCGTATTATGATGTACAACGAAAGTTATTTTAATTTCCCTTATAGGTAAGTTTTATAGCAGATAAAAAATATAAAAAAGAAACTCAAATCAGAGTTTAAAAAACTATATCACAATTAGAGCAAATATTACAAAAATTTTACGAAAAATTGCATTTTCCCTCACTTCAAGCTTTTTGTTTTTGTTTAAAAATTCAGAATATCTACTTCGTTTTATAAGATATTTCTTAATTTTAGGGACCTAAAGTGAAACATTCCCATAAAATATTTAAAAAACAAACTAAAAATCAAAAAAAGTATGCACGACAATTTTCTGTGGTAATTACGCCGCGCCGGCTGTGGCAATAGACAAGGCCGAATCCATCGCCGTCGCCTTGTATTATATCTCGGATCTGCCGACTGAATAGATTCCCGTGAACTAGTCTTTTAATAGTTCCTCTATGTCCGAATCCGATAACATATGGCTGGCACTCCCCACGCCTGCCTAGCATCAATCGCGCTGGCTGATCCATACGTAAACTAGTCTTATTTAGTTCCTCTAGTTCCTTTAGGTCCGGATCCGATAACATACGGCATATGGCTGGCACTCCCCACTCCTGCCTAGCATCGATCGCGCTGGCCCGATTGTACGCAAACTAGTCTTTTATTTAGTTTAGTTCCTCTAGGCACATCATTCTATATCGGTCACAGTCTCGATCCCGGAATAGGTCCTAAGGAACTAGTTCTTTGAGAAACCAGGAACTAGTTCCTTTCATTCCGGGGTCGGAATAGTTCATTGGAACTAGTTCGTTCACGAACTACACACTCTAGTCCAACTGGTCCATACAAAATGTATAAACTGTGCAGGGCAATAAGCTGTTAAATCCTATGATATATGCCTAGTAAAAATATACATAAAGGATACAGAGAAAGAACCTGATAACCATCAGCCGTCCCGGGGTTCACCTGTAAATTTAGTAAAATGGCGCTTATCATGTTTTTCCTCTGGACCCTTCATTTGGAATTTATTGTTTGTTCGTTTATTAACGACAATTAACAAATTAACATAACTTATTAAGCACATTGAACTAAAAACATAAATGTGAGATTATGTTAAACAATTGGCAATCTAAACATAACTAGAAAAAATTGGATGCAAGTTGAAATATTATAGGTCCAGATCATCTGCAAGTGCAAGAAAAGTTGCAACAACGTCACAGATTAAATTCTGAATTCTAATATGCCAGAATCCAGAATCATGTAGGAATAACAGAGGGGAGGTGCTAGAACTGTGGGGAAAATTACCCAATTTTAGTTTTGAGTCAGTAATGTGTTCAGTATTTTGTGCACAAACATTATCCCCAAAATGTAATGTTCTTCATCGATAATTTAAGTGTTTTCTATTGATAAACTAGTTGTAGTAGCAGTAAAGGTATTGACTCAAAGAAACTCACTGAAATAACATTTCACATTAATGTACTGGGTGACAAACTAAGAATGGATGCCGGCTGTATCTCAGGAACTACTTATTGTATAACTTTTTACTTTTTCAAGTTCGAAAATATCCACTAGGGGGCGCATATGAGATGGCCAATCAGAAAACAGGATTTTTCACAAAAATATGCAGGTAAGAGGCAAGGGGTAAGAGGTACCTTATGATCGAAAAAAAATGGCGTCCAGTTGGCTGTGAAATGACGATCGATGACATTTCCCATATAAATTTACATAAAAAATGACAGTGATCTTCATTTCATAGCCATAGCTGACGCCGTTTTTTCTCGATCATATGGTATTTTCAATATTGCTATTGTAAACAATGGGAAAATTGTATTTTTTATATAGTGTATTTTGCTCTATCTCATAAAATAAAGTGGTGAGGGAATGTTAAACTTGCTTTTAGTAAAATAAGAATACCTAACTCTGGTTTGGATTAGCCTATTTAAACAAACTAAACGTTTAGTGTAAACGTTTAAAAGAGCTTTTCTTTCCTAATGATATCTAGTATAAATTTTGTATCCATAGATTTTTTCGTGGTATCTAGTTGGTGCTAGTTGTTTGACATCATAACAAATATAGCGCTTATGCATAAAAAATTATGCTATATTAAAAAAAACTACAAATTTCCCATTCATTACAATACTATTTAAAATACCTCTTCACCTGTATATTTTTGAAGAAAATCCTGTTTCCCGATTAGCCATCACAGATGCGCCCCCTAGCGGATATTTTTCGAGCTTGAAAATCACTTCCAGTGATTTCTCTTTGTCGATTTACTTGTTACAATTTTTTTCTAAAAGTTATACAATCAATAATTTCTGATAAACAGCCGCGTCCATTCATAGTTGGCCACCTGGTACAGGCTCGTAACTCGTAACAAAGCTAATACAAAATTATCTATAAAAAAAATAAAAATTAGGATATGGAGTTACAAGGCATAAGTTTACTACAACATAACTAACATACTTTTAGTTGATTCACTTTACATTTGGATAAGAGAAATATTTTTTTTTATCATTATGTTTCCTTTTTTGAAGTTTATGTAACACGGTCCTGATTCCTTATGAAGTAGTTCACTTTTCCCCGCCCGCGCCCCCATGTTCCGTTTTAATTTTACAGAAATAATATTGTAGCTACCCCCCTTTCTAATTTCTCTATGGGCAGAATGCACATGCATTGTATGAAAAATTCCTGCAACTTTTCTCACATGGAAGTAAAATTGCCAACTGTAAAACAACCCCCAGTGACTTTCCTATACTATTTTCCTACAACTAACCTTTAAACCACCATTCTGCTTTATCAGACCGAATTAAAGGTTCCATGCAATATCCAGTTGTATTAAATTTCATTTCATGGATGTCATTCCTACACTTTGAAGGAAACAGCCTCTCATCTTCACAATTAAAAAACTCAGGAAAAACTGTACTATTGTAAACTATTTGGCAGGGTTGTAAAATGATTCGACACATTTCTCTGCTGGGCAAATCAACTTGTTCATCTTCACACTTCGGCATGTACAAGGCACAAAAGAATGGTTGTATTACAGCCCAACACTTTGGTATATAACGTAAGTACTGTTCATAAAGCAGTAATTTTTCCTGAACTTTTGCTTGACTACTCAGATCAGTTAAATCTAATGTAGTCGAATGGTAGGGCAATTTAGCCCCCATACATTTTGACGTTTGTAGAGTTTCACACTTTGCATTTCGCTTACAATATTCCGGGTTGGTATCAAATAATGATTTATCCAAATACCTTTGGCCCTTTGGCTTAAACAGTTCTTTGTGTCGTACGTATGGGGAGCCTAAAAAATTATTTACTTCGGTTCTAACCGACACCTCAGACTGATTGGTCGGATAATCTTCAAATAAAACAGATCGTGAATCAACTAAAATAGTAGAGGTTTCAAATAGATACAGAAATAGTATCAATAGTATCTTCATCATATAAAACAATGATCAGGCTTTCACAAATGAATGGCTTTACGAATTCTATTCCGTCAAGGAAATTAACAAACCATAGATATTAACAAATTATCTAAAAAAATAAAAAAGCACAGATTCACACTATATTCACAATACACAGAAAACACAAAGAAAACATATCTGTTTTAAACATTTTAGCGAAGTTTAGGGCAGTCATGGGGCTGTTCTTGTCTAAGATTCTTGTCAATCTTGTCTGTCTGTTTGGAATTTTCGACCACCCACGTGTTGGACATTGTTTACTAGACGAAGAAAATCAGAAAGCTGGCCTATGTGCTATAAGTTAAAGAAGGATAAATTATTTCATACATGACTTTAATAGGTAGGCAACTTTATATACCTTGTACACTTGCCTTGGACCAAGGCCTTGGACCACCCGCATTAAAATTATGTTAGACAAGGAAATAGGAAAATTATATTCGTCTTTTTTGTTCGTACGTCCTTGAATCTGAACCCAAAAATCTTACGTCAAGTTACGTCAAAAAAAACTTTTCTTCTCCTGCCGTCTCGTTTCTCTCAGCTTGTCAGAAGTCCGGCAAGTCGTGTATCGCAGGCTGATAACGTCAATATCACAAAAGTTTGTCGTAAAAGTCTTTTAAATGACCTTAGGGAGATAGTGACCTAAAGTGTGACTGCCGTTTCGTTTTGAAGAAAATTGTAAATAACTGCATTAAATACCTCTACAAGTTAAACATGTTCCGAACCGCTATACTCAGGAGTGATGTGGCCAAAGAAGTCGTAAGGAAAGCCTTTCGTGCACAAAGTTTAAGACACCTTGCTGTTCAAACTTTAAGGCAAAGGAATTGTTCCAGGTAAAATACTTTTTATTCTCAAACTCTCTTACTTGCTCGCTTACATAACCATCTCATTAACGAGGTGAGATTACTTAACCTACATTTTGTTGGACATTGAAAAATGTATTTTTTAATTAAAAAATATATATTAGATTTGGTTAACAGAATAGAAATCTGAGAGAAATTTTGAGACTATTTTCTTTTAATCTCTGATTTCTTTATTTCCAATTTCCAACCCTATAAAAAATAGGTATACAATGTGAAAGACATTGTAGGTATGTGCCTACAAGTACCTATTTAATGCATGATAGTAATGTAAGGCAAACAGTTAGGTAATGAAAACTATTTAAAATAAAATAAAAATATATACTCCTGTTTTTCAACCTTAAATTCTATATGAAAATTGGCATATTTTAATGCATTTTAAAAGAACTATTTTTAACATGTCATTAATATAGTATTTGCAACTAATGAGCTATTTAAAATAAAAAATATATAGATCATTTCTAAAAAACATAGATATTCCAAGGTGCAATATGAACTTATTAGTTTTGATTACAATTTAAATTTTTAGAGCTCTTCCAAATGGCATATCAAATGAGATTCTTCGACCATGGAAACATTCAGAAGAAAACCTGGTTAGATATTATTCCAGTGACTTGCCAAGCCATATTCGAGTCACTTTACCGGCACTATCTCCCACTATGGAACTAGGGACCATCATCAGTTGGGAAAAGAAAGAAGTATTTATTTTAATAGATTGCTTAGCCAATTATTAAATAATTTTTCTTTTTAAGGGTGACAAGCTAAATGAAGGTGATTTGTTGGCTGAAATTGAGACTGATAAAGCTACCATGGGATTTGAAACGCCTGAAGAAGGATATCTAGCAAAAATTTTAATTCCAGCTGGTACCAAAGATGTTCCTATTGGAAAATTGGTGAGTCATGAAAAATGTCTAGTGTTATAACCTGTGTTTCTATAGAACTCCATAAATATGAGGATTTCTATTTGAAATACTCCAATCTTTTTTTGAGAAATATGCAGATGATACATAGGTATCGATAACATGAACTAGAGATGGGCAAAAGTAACCGGTTTTTTGAATAACCGGTATTTTCCTCTAAAATAACCGGTTATTTAAAGGTAGTTTTTTTTTCATCAGTTAACCTAATAACCTTGCATTACGTTCAATAACCTATAGCCGGTTATTTTTTAAAAAATCGTACTTGTTTAAAACAAGTAACAATTAAATATTAGCTGTTTGAATCGTAAATTTCGAAGGAGCGAACGGCACGGATCTTCCAGATATTACGACGATAACGGGAGATCCCGCTCCCGCTCCCAAAACGAAAATATATGACATCAAACATCAAATGTCAAAATTAAATCAGGCATCAGGCGAACCCTGATGATAATAATCAAAACAACGGCCAAATGGCCCTGACAGGTCAGGCCGTAAAACAAAGTACTAATGGCATAGACTACTACTAGCCACCAGCTAGCCAAGTGATACGAACCTAACTTCAAATAGATTCTCTAAATTCTATATTTAAATTTTAACCGACTTTAACGGATTTTCAACGGTTCTTCAAAAGTCTTCCATGGTTTCGCCCAGTTTCACCCACGTTTCACCGTAAATATATTTTATTTGTAGTTTGAAGTCTCTCTTGAAGCTTAGACTAAAGAATACAAAATTAAAGTTCAAGTAATGAATGAAGATAATCTTTCATTATCTATTCATTCAGTCTCCTTATTTTTCTTTGGTATTTGATTAAAATAACTTGGTTGTAGATTGTAGAACTTTGGTTGTGTAGTTTATTTTGAGCGTTTAAGTAATTACTAGTTTTGTATTTAATATCTATCCATGTCTACTCAAAAAGTGAGGTTAGAATTTTTATTTAAATTCATTTGTACATATACATACTTACATTGCTACAATCCTATTTAATCATGCGATTTAACTAAGCTTATTATCTAATTTGAAATAGACCTATGGAGTGTAGAGGTAAGTAAACCTATAGGAAAACTAAATATTTAGTTTTGCTAGGTTAGGTTATTTGGATAACCGGTTAATTTGTGTCGGTTAATTTTGTCAAGTTATTATTTTTTAAAGATAATTCCGGTTAACCTATAACCGGTTTTTTACCAATAACCGCCCATCTCTAACATGAACGGTAAGGGGACTGTGTGAGATACTTTAGCTGGGTACTTCTAATTTCTGCCGTATCGAGCGCTGCGATCGAATTGTTTATATGTAATCAACTTAAATGTGACAAGCCCGATATATACCAGATGGTTTATAAAATATCCATGTGTAGGTTAAATTTTCAACAGATTTTTAGCTTTTTCAAAATTACTTATTGATACTTTCCACATAGAAGTGTTTTTTAACAGTATCTTATTCATAACCAATCATAATAAAACAGTGAGTTAAAAGTATGTTATTTAAAAGAGGGGTCTGTATATTATATAATATATAATATTAATAAAATGTATTTATTTCTCAGGTTGTATAATCCTAGAGTATTTATATTAACAATAGAAATAATAAGTAGATGCTTAAGATAATGCAAATATATCGGGTGCGTCTCAAAAGTGGCTCACCCTTATAACTTTTTTATTTTTTCAGTTAAAAAAACGACATTTGGCGTGTTAGTATACGACATAAATTAGGTTTGATTGATGTATGTATTCAATAGCTCCTACCGACAAAGTAAAGAAGTTTCACTTCAAAAATATAAATTACATATTTTACAGATTAGTTAGATAAACAAATAAAGGTGGGTCAAGCGGGACGGCTGCGGCTGTGACAGTCTCCGTTGAAAATCAGTTTATACCGAGCTTTTGACCAGCTCTGTTGTTTTAATTGTTGACTATGGAGTGGTCGCACTTGAGCCAGACAGGAGACTTTTACTGATTTTGCTATCTGCTTTACTGTTTTTGTTGTATGTTTTACTAGTTATGACTCACCCTGTAAATACGCACAATATAACATTCTTTAAAATAAGACTTAAAAATATTTCTAAAATGGTCATAATTTAAAAACCACGTAATTTTGATTATGACGTTTTAGTATTTTTATGACAAATCCACCGAACAAAAAATCAACTACGGTAATCGCAAAACATTTTCCGATGCACGTCATCGATTATATCGAAATTGACACTAAAGGCTATAAACCTGACTGAATGAAATTTTGGTCAAAATATTTAAATTTGTTATATAATTTAAGATACCGAGCAGCTCATCATCTTACTTTATGGAGCAAATGATTGTAACAGATATTTTATTTAGATTAAAGCTGCAAAAATTAGTTTCAAGCGATTTTTATTATCGCCATGTTGGTCATATTGTGCCGCGATCACCAACGTTGTCGTTTATTATTTGACAATTATCATGTCAATTATTATTTTGTATAATATCGTGTTGTTGGTTGTTGTTGAACCTTTGGGAGTAATTCTCGTTTTTTGGCGATTTTCGTGTTTTTGTATTGCATTTCTTCAAATTGTGTGTTGAGCCGAATAGAATATACCGAAGCATTTAAACAGTCAAAGGAAAGAGTTTGTAACTTTCCTGATAAACTATTTTAAACGAGAACGTGACAATAAAGTTCCTTTATTACCCTTGACCCTTGACTGCAGTCAGACAAGTAAGTTTGATTGGTAAGCACATCATACCACTTTCAAAGTTATTTCGATTTGTAGCGAGTAGCTGCTGCCTTAAATTTATATATTTCCACTGTGAGTGTTAGTAGTGACTGCTGCTATAAAATAAATAAATGAATTACTAAAATATTAATTATTCAATTAAAAATATGTAAAACATAAAAATCTTTAAGAAATTATATATAATAAATATATTGTTTTCCAATTTTACATTAAGATTCAACATATAAATCCATCACAATCTGGCAGCGCTGTCACTCAAAGTTGACCACGTGCTTCGCAAATTGTTTTGGGATTACTTTATTTAAAAAGCTAGAACTTTGGTGCAAAAGTAGGTATATTTCATATTTATTTCGATTGTCATTGATTTTCATGCCCTACTATCATTTATCACGATAGTCCCTCCAACGGGAGAACCCCTGATAGTGACAATTGTATCTGTCATTTTAATTTACACACAAATTTTATTTTCTGTTATTTTTTCGATGTCGTCTGTCGAAATCTTTTCGTTCGTGGCTTTTTATTCAAAGATTCATGGACACGTCCACTGTTTTGAACATTTAATATTTGACAGTAAAGTTCAACTCAAACACAATTAGTTTCATTTATTTACAGGTCTGTATAATTGTTGAAAGTGAAGGTGACATAGCCGCTTTTAAAGAGTTTAAAGATGATGCTGCTGCTGGAGCCCCAGCAGCAGCGCCAAAACCAGCTGCACCGGCACCTTCTGCACCAACACCTGCGGCTGCACCACCAACTCCTCAAGCTGCTCCTGTATCTCAGCCACCCGCAGGTAATTTATACTTCATTTTAATAATTCTGTACTGTCTATATCCTAGTAGTAAATTTTCTAAGATATATGTAAATGTATTGAAGTTTTTTAACGATATATACAGGTGTATTTTATTCAAATAAATGGAAGGCTTTTAAGGGGCGGTAGACCTGAACACGAGAGAAACATATTTTCAATTTGTTGTTTTTAAAATGAATTGAAAATAACCTGAGAAAATAACCCAGTAACTTTGATAATAATTAAAAAAATATAGAAACATTTTGAGAATCGCGGGCCTCCTGTGTTGCTACATGGACAAGAAAATATATGTATATCATAGGCTTGGTGCATTCTCCGCCGGTGCTGCCACCATAAGAAAATATGGTAAACAACCGGCGCGGCGTATACAAATACATGGATTTAAATAGGGAGTATACGAAAAATTTATTATATAATTATCCTAAAAGTGTTAGGAAGTATAATTTGTGAAAATTCTAAACATAAAAATAAAAAATTATATAAATATTTTGATATCTTCAGAAGGTCTAACTTGTATTATAATTTATTATTCAAGCTAATAAAACTTTTTAAATGAGTTCAGCTAGGGTAGGTAGCATAGTTTTACGTACTGATTTTGCACTTTTGTTCTTTTTCACTTAATTTGTACTACCCGAAACAGCGTTACATCACACAAACCTCGTGCCTGAGTATTTTGTCGTTTCAATAGCTGCACTATTAAAAACTAAAATACTTAAATATTATGAGAAAGTCACGATTTTAATATTATTTTAATGCGATCAACATCGGAACTGCGTGAAATACCGAGCGAAAACTTCTAATTTCTGCCGTATCAAACGCTCCGGTCAGAATTTTTAAAATCAACTGAAATGCACTAAGCCTATACTTTTTCTTTATATGTAAAGGGGGTTTTATATAAAAACTTGTAGTTGAGATGGTGATATGGTATATGTAAGATGATATACGCGCTTAGTACTTTTGTAGTGTAAAACAATTCCAATTTTAAAATTCCTCTAGGTTTACTTATTTCTTTTAATCAATAATTTTTCAGTTCAAAAAATGTTAGAATTTGAAGGAGTAAGTATACAGTACGTCTGTCCGTTCTGTAGCTACGGGGTATCCGTGAGAGGGGAAACGATATTCTCTCGATGTTTTTCGTAAAAAATAGACGACGCGTCCCATCAATAAAAATTCAACAAATTTGCAAGTAGCCAATAAAATGAGTGGCGGAGCGATTTGCGGTGACGCACTCGTCAAATCGACGTATAAAATATATTGCTGTTTATTTAAATGTTTTTTGTCCGCATTCCTTTCATAGACACAGATCCAGCAGATGCACTGTACATATATTTAACAATTTCAAGCCATCAGGATTTCATAGTCTTTAGTCTAAAGCTTCATTCAGAACCTCAAAATTAGTGGAATAAATTAGTTTCAGTTAGCGTAGATGTTCCTCTAATTTTAATGCAAGCATTCAGAACGTCAAAATTAGTGATAGTACTTTTCAATTATTAGTAGAAAAAGTTATCAAACTTTTTTCGCTGAAATTTGAAAATGCTAATGCGCATGTGCGAGTAATTAAGTAAGTAATATATCTAATGCGCATGTGCGAGTAATTAAGTAAGTAATATATCTAGTAATATGTATGCGAGTAAGTATATTTTGGCCTTTCATTATCGTCTGTCAAGAAAAAATATGGTTTGGTTTGGTTTGGTTTGACTTTTTCTATGGGTACAGCTCGAAGAATGTGGCCAGTGGTCAGTGGTAGATAGTAAAAGAACAAAACAAATACTAGAGCACAAAGAGAACCTAGTACGCATAATTGTAGGTGTCGTCACCTGAAACTGCCCCACGGGGGTAAACCTCGTCAGATGAAAGATTTCCCACGAAAACCATAGAGCACCTGCTGTCCCCTGTCGGGCACTGGAATACCGACACTTTAAAACTTGATTCCAGACATGATTCCAAACCTCAACAACCTAACCTAACCTAGCCTAAGCTAATTATTGGGCTGTCTTAAGGATGTTCTATTAATTTTAATTGTTTTAATTTAATATTGAGGATAATCTTAAATATAAAGTATAATTGATTTCACTAATTTATTCCGTGGTTTTAAATAAAGTATAAATCTTTACTGTTGTTCTTGTTTTATTAGTTAATTTAATAGGGAAAGAAGTTAAACTAGTCAACTATTTCACTATTTTTTGTTGTTAATTTCATGTGACATGTATATATATATTCTAATTTTTGCTGTGAAAGAACCTATCAAGAGACTAACACAAACAAATGTATGCGTTTTACTGTCATGTGTATTGTATGTCTTAGTTTCAATACGTTTCAGTAATCACACTTCTAGGATATAGTCAATACTAATAAATATAAAGCTAATGATTTGTTATGTTGCTTGGATTGTATTCATGACAAATTTTTCTAGCTGCTCCACATGGAGACCGAGTGTATGCTAGTCCTATGGCCAAAAGATTGGCGGAACAAAGAAATATTCGTTTGCAAGGAAAAGGAACAGGCTTGTTTGGCGCCATAACTTCCTCAGATTTAGCCTCTCAGGGTAATTATACTATATTTTTTAAGAACGTTAATAAAATAAGCTTTTGATTTTTTTGCTATACTTTAAAATCCAAAAAATTAAAATTGATATTGTACCTATAATCTGATATTTACGAATTACAACTATATATCGATTTTTTTAAATTATTGACATAATTGCACCAATCATTTATTAACGATATATTAACTACGGTAATCGCAAAACATTTTCCGATGCACGTTATCAATCATATCGAAATTGACACTAAAGCCTATAAACCTGACTGAAATTTTGGCAAAACTGTTTAAATTTGTTGTATAATTTAAAATACCCAGCTGCTCTTCATTTTACTTAATAGAGCAAATAATTGTAATAGATATTTTATTTAGATTAAAGCTGCAAGAATTAGTTTAGAGCGATTTTTATTATCGCCATGTTGGTCACATTGCTCCGCGATCATCAAAGTTGTCGTTTATTATTTGACAATTGTCAGAATGTCAGTCATTATTTTGTATAATATTCTGTTGTTGAATCTTTGGGAGTAATTATTCTGTTTTCTTTTGCCGATTTTCATAGTCTTTTTTTGAAAAATTGTACTTTAAAACACAAACAGTTCTTTTACGAACTAAATTTTCGAGTTTTTGTATTTTTGTTTTTGTTTTTGCATTTCTTGAAATTGTGTGTTAAAAATATGCCGAAGCATTTCAACAGTTGAAGCAAAAAGCTTGTAGCTTTCCTGATAAACTATTTTGAACGAGGACGTGACAATAAAGGTCTTTTATTACCCTTGACTGCATCCAGAAAAGTAAGTTTGATTGGTAAGCACATTATACCACTTTTAAAATTATTTCTACTTATTTCGATTTGTAGCAAGTAGCTGCTGCCCTTAAATTTAAATATTTCTACTGTGAGTGTTTAAATACTGTTAATAAATAAATTAATTACTAAAATATTAATTATTAAATTAAAAATAAAAAGTAAAAATCTTTAAAAAATGATACAATAAATATATTGTTACCCAATTTTACATTAAAATTCATCTCATAAATCCATCACAATCTGCCAGCGCTGTTGCCATCGCTAGTCACTCAAAATTGATCATGTGCATCGGAAATTGTTTTGCGATTTATATCTGTAGTCTATTCAATTAGAGATCCAATGACAGTGACAGTTGTTGTTTGTTACTTTTTCAGATTTTATTTTTTTATGTAGACTAGTTTATTTTAGGTTTGTTCCAACCAGCATTTCGGGATCGTTCCGAAACCGTACTCGAATCGGTACTTCGAATAGTTTCGTGACGGTGCACGGTGTCACGTTTCGTGAAAAGTATCAACGTTGGAACGCTTTGTGGATTGTTTTCGGGACTGTCAAAAGTGTCAAGCGTGCGTGTATCCATCGGTTTTTTGTTTTTCTTTAGAATTTCATAACATAACCTTATTATTTTCGTTTGCAATTTACAATAATAATAATTATTATTCTTGAAATGGAGAATCAGAATCCAGTAATTGTTGGTAAGTGTTGTTTCAACTGTATACTCACTAACTCACTTACCTATCCTCTCTTTTATGATCCTGTTATGCGTAGTTTCCTGTTATTTCATTGCAGTGATAGAATCTTGGAACATTATTTTATAAATAAAAAATTAATTAAAATTTCCGAACGATTTACTCCACACAAACTCACAAGCAAAAGTATAACGCAACACGTATTCGAATTCGTAAAAAATAACCGAGACAGAAGCATCAGCCGGACGGCGGACCAGAATCAGCTGTTAAAAATCGATAATCCCTGCCAATATGCTTTAATGCGCAAGTCAGCCCAAACAGTTCTCAATTTGGACCATGTACCGAAATTACCGTTCTGAAATCGTAACTAAACGATCCCAAGGTAGGTTGGTACGCAAATAGAATCGTCCGATAACCGTCAAATCTCGGTTGGAACAGATTTGAATTACTGCGCACGAGCGTGATCGTTCGGTGACGGTTCTGCGGCGGATTGGAACAAACCTAGATATTGTTTTTATACAGTGTCACAGGTAAAGCCCGAATCATATGGAACTTTTTTTATTTATGGATTAGGTGAAATTTAACTTCGGAGATGGTCAATGATTTGGTTTAGATTAATAATGATATAAGAAAATTTAGCATGTTGCTTTCAGGTATCTGTCAAAGTTGACATTCAGAATAATAAGTGTGTAAAAAATGGGTTTTCTGACAGAATTTTGAAAAACTTTATTTAAAAATTGTTACATATTTTCAGTTATCTAGCTGAAAAATTAAATTTCGTCAGTTTTAACCAATAGCTGCCGATTCTCGTGGTTGAAGCAAAAATATCTGATGGCAGTTTGTTTGTAAGTCAAATATTTATCTAGTGGTTATACGGGGTGTCCCAGAAATAAGTGCAAGTATTTTGCAGTAACAATTTTTTTCTTTACTATTTTTCAAATAAGTCCAAAATACCGAGTTATTTTACTTTGAAAATTGAAACAAAAAATTGGTCAAGTTCGAGTCGGACTCGCGCACGAAGGGTTCCGTACCATTCATTATCTATACAACATTAGACACTATATTATTATAAACTTTTTTCCGATTTAGCTGAAATTTTGAATGCGCGTATAAGTAATTTAAAAAAAAATGAAGAAACACATTACTAAAAATTGTATTTATCAATAATAAATATGTAAAAATTAAAAAAAAACGATTAAAAAAAGTCGCCTTGACTAGGATTCGAACCAGCCTTACCAACGTCATAGCAGCGTAAAGTCCTAACGCTTTAAACCACGCGGCCACTGAGAACTTGAAAGATTCTATGTAAAATTCTTACTTAAAAGATAATGTTTAGTGAAAATACTTTTTTATTTATAAACATTTATTTAATTCTGTTTTTAGTATTTGTTCTTATAGCGGCAACATAGATACATTATCTGTATAAATTTCAACTGTCTAGCTATAACGGTTCATAAGATAGACCTTTGTGACAGACGGACGGACGGACAGCGAAGTCTTAGTAATAGCACAGAATATCTAGCTACGCAACAGAAGCCTCGTTACATGTATAAAATTGTAGGTAGCAAAAGGAGACAGGCTTTAAAAGTCTGTCTCCAAATCAGATATTTTGATGTGGTAGTTTCGCTACTACATAATAGAGGGCAATAAATTTAAAAGAAAACAGTTTTCTACAAATTCAAAATTTAAAAGAATGTTGTGCAAAAAACTCATCGGTGTAATTCTGATATCGTAATACTACCAGATAAAGCCTACCTTCAAATTTGCTGGGATCATTTGTATAAAAAATAGATCAGAGCTGTTTTTTTCAGTTTGCCATGTTAGTTGGAATTAAATCTTATGAGCTAAAGTACAATCACTTCCTGACGTTTGATTGTATAATTGAATCCTGAATTTTCATTGTAATTCGGCGACAATATAAGTATTGTTCTACTATTACGATACCATTTTGGCGTTCGATACGGACTTAAAAACAGCTATTTTACGGACTCATTTCAGTCCGTAAAATGTTTCTTTTTTCGGCCTAGGCCGTAAAGGTCGTCATGGCAACTTTATGGTTCGGTTACAATTAATATGATGGTAATACTATGCATATCAAAAGGTACCTTAATATATTACCATATTACCAATACCTATTTAAAAGAGGCTTTTTCGATTGAGCTCATATTTGATATATACTTGCGTATTTTTGATGACCATTGTCATTATTATGGTACCATGAAATATATCCATGCTGGTACCATAATATAAGTGTATTAAGTAATGGCGTTCGATTGACTTAAACTTGGGAAACTTATTGCTTTTTTGACATTGTAATATGATGGTACTATGATGCATATAAAGTGGTAAGGTAATATAGTACCATATTACGATCGGTGATTTCCTGGCCACGGCTTGGGCTCAAACTTGGTATACTACGTATCTTCGGTGAGTTTGCAATAATGGTTTTTAAAGTATATAGAGTGGTACCATAATATAGTACACTATTATGATATCATTTCCTGGAGTTATTAAATACCCAAATTTGGTATACTTAAGTTTATTTATAAAGATAAAAATGAAATGAACAATTTTGTGCATTTTGAAAACTTGCATCTGCAATCGAATCTTTTCCCCATTAGCAGTTTGCAAACTTTCTTCTTTTCTCAATAGATTCTTCTATGTAACCTTCGGCCACTGTGGACGACCTAAATAATTATTGTTGTTTAGAACAAGATCGGAAAATATTAAAATTTTTACCTCCAACCTCCTAGGCGTTTCAGCGATTTTAATCCACATTGCATCTGCAGTCGTGACAGCTACTTTTATCGGAAACAATGACCTGTATATTCGTTTGTACCTGTGTCACTTTTAAAATCTACCTACAATCGATATAAATAACGTGGCAAATGAAAGAAATTCGTTATTATAGTATTTTTTAGTTACGTTAACATTTTTTGACTGCATAATCATGTGGTAAATTATTTCCATTATTAGACAAGCTTATATTTCATTACTAACGTTCCAGCATTAATAAATATCACTATCAATCGCCCTGTATATTATTACTCTTTTGAAAGGTAATTAAAGGTATCCGCAAGGTTAACATTATAAGGTAGCTGTATATTAAAATATATATGTTTTGTAATAATATACTTAAAACTATTTTAATAGCCACAAGGAATAATTAATATAAGTTTATCTGACAAGAAAAGAAGAATAGAAAAGAAACACATACTGCATTATACACAATAAAAAATGGGATGCCAATTCAAGTCTTTTGGCCAAAAATCACCGCATCTGTGCATATTTAGCCGAGCTATAAGGCCGTCGACGAGCCGTCGATCCAAAACCGAAAGTTCAAAATTTCTAATTATATTCTGATTATGATATTGTCGCGCCATCTAGTATTCTATTTGTGCAATTTTAGCTCTTTCATTTCGAGTATTTTTCTGTTGCGTAGCTAGATATTCTGTGGTAATAGGGTTCCCGTTTTTACCCTTTGGGTACGGAACCCTAAAAATGCTTTTTTGCTTAAATTTTGAGAACCACTGGATCTTTTCTGGATTTTCTTTTATGTACATTTAATCTACTACCTATGTTGCCATATTATCAAGAAATTATGTTTTTTAACATAAAACTATTTCCAAATTTTTTTTCAAAAAATTCCAAATTTTCAAAAAAATTTTTCGCAAAAAAACTCATCGGCGTGTTTCTGAGGCCGAAATATACTACCAGTTAAAATACTTGCACTTATTTCTGGGAGACCCTGTATAAAAAAATTAATTTATTTTGAAAATAATTTAAATTGTAGAAAGTGACGCAAAGTACGAATGACTTTCTTATCTATTGAGATGCCATCATGAAATTCATATTTGTACATGTTGGGGACTTATTTGCTATCGCTTATACTAAATGTGAAAACATATTTTTATAGCCTATTTATAAAATTATTTATTTAGATATTGTCCCTATATGATCTCTAATCAAATTAAAAGGAAGGTGTTATAAAAAATTGTCTAAAAATCTAATATATTATACTATAATAACGGGCTTGATTTTTAAAGAAAATATTGAATATTTTGAATTGAAAATATTGTATAAAGAAACTTGTGCCCTTATTGGGTAATTTCGACACAAAAAATGTGTAGGAATAATGTCATCTCGATATATGAAAGACTTATTCCTAGTTTGGCATCCGCAAGCCAATTTTTGTACAACAAAATTTAACTTTTCGTATAAAAACTATTAATTTATGCAAAACATTTAACTCAATATATGCGTACTAGATGAATATCTGACACTATTGGATAAAAATAACGATTGTTTTCCTCTAGTTGATTGAAAATTGGTATAGTTATGTAATAGAATAGAAATAACTTTCTGAAAATTCAGCCAGAAAACACATTTTCCCATTGAGGCATTTATTACTTTAAATGTCAAATTTGACAGATACCAGAAAGCGACATGCTAAATTTTCTTATGTCATTTTTAATTTAAACCAAAGCAGAGATTATCGCCGATTGATTTCTGTCATTTTATGTAATAAATAAAGTATTATGAATCAGACATAAAACATTTAAGTAGTATGTATCTTTGTCGCAATTTTATTTCTATAAATTTATAACATTTGTTATTATATTAGATTCCTTGAGGTGGCTATTGGCCGCATCCATTGCCATCTTCTTAGATCTATTGTGGTACTTGTTATTACATAACAAACAGGGATATTTGTATTTATGTTTTGTTTGACTAACGATAGTTTCCGAAAATATTAATAAATTACTTAAAATATAGCCAAAGAAAGAAGTTTAAACTTAGAGAGCATATAGAGAATGGCACCCAAAAAATTGTAGCTAATTACCCGTAATCTCATTACAAATTGTTGTCATGCGTCTTGTCACCTAATTAACTATAGAAAAGTCAATAAAAGTTGGCGTGCACGTCATCGAAACATTTGACGAACGTCCGTCGCAATATTGCCACGGTTACCTTTTTTACTTTGACTTTTAACAAGTAGTGTTAAATAAAATTCGTAATTTTATCACTGATTTTTCACTTTGATTTTAGACACAAATAATATTGTTTTCTCTCTACATTATTACTTTGTCTATGATTATTACATAAACAAATTCTAATTAAATGAAGTTATTAGCAAGTGTTCTGAATGAAAGCTGAAATATGTAAAGTTCTAATTGGTTTAACATTAGTCCTCACTTTTTGTGAGATTCTACTAATTATGTCTATTATCTATGATTCTACTCAGTCCGTAAACTGATATCGAACTTAACTGAAACACGCCAAAAGATTTATGTATTTTCAATAAAAGCCACAAAACTTAAAGCAACAATATCAATATTTTTACCTCTCTAACGGAGTTTAACGGCCATGACTACCAATATAAAGCCTTTTTTATCGGTCAATTCGTTTACGTGAGGCCACGTGCTGTCTTTTTTAACTAGGATATAAAATTATAAGAAGAAGGAAAAAGTGCGCTCTAACTTTTACATAAATTTTTATTTATTAGAAATTTAATTTGGTAATCGTGTCAACGTCTTTGACGATGTCCACACCAACACTTATTGATTTCTCTGTAGTATATTTTATCTGTTTACTAATTTTGTGTATTTCCATTAGAGCTCAAACACACTGACGACCAGGTCGCAGCGACCAACCAACGGCCACCAATCAAATGATACAACGCGCACTACCGTTCTAGCCGTTGGCTGGTCGCTACGACTTGGTCGTCAGTGCGTTTGAGCTCTTATAGTCTATTTCTTAATGGTTGATAGCACAGCGAGAAGGGCTGGGGCCTTAAAGCATCACAAACCATAGGCGCTATAACTTTTACAGATTCTACCAGCCGATTTTTTTTATATAATAATAAAGTAATTTGTTTTGCCCTTGAATGAGCTTGAACCGGACTCGTCCCACAATAGTTGTAGCAAAAAAATTGTTCGCTTTTTGTTACGTGTTGGCTGATCGGTCTGTAGTTATTCTGTGGTTTAATAGCTACCTGATCACTGTATGGTTATGAACACCCCGCCAATTAATACCCGACACTGGTGGGGGCGGTCCATGAAAATCTTTATTACCTATTGTTATACTAGCTACCCCTATTGTTCTCGGCAAAGGTACCGTATGTGTCCATCCACAAACGTGTTAAAGCTGTTTAAATTTCATTTGAATATATATAATGTTTCGATTTATTAAAGTTTTTGAACGTTACAATAGCAAGTGTAACTTTGTATTTGATGAAGAGATATAGGGTATATTTATTATAGGAATAATTTTATAGCTTTATAGGTTTTATAAGTTTTTATAACTTTTACACGTTACTTTATTTCTCGATTTATCGTAAGTTTTTAAGCAAGTGGTTTTTTTTTTATTTAAATCGATTAAAATAAAAAATATCCGTTGATTTAAATCACGATTTAAATCTTGATTAAAATCAAGCTGATTTAAATCTTGGCACCCTGTCTTCAACACTGGGACGTAATTCGTCTCATTGCTTATACCTGGTGCGTCTCAAAAGTGGCTCACCCCTATAACTTTTTTATTTTTTCAGATAACAAAACGACATTTGGTGTGTTAGTATATGACGTAAATTAGGATTGATTGTCGTATTCATTTATTTTCGGTCACATGACTACAACTTTTGATTTTTAAATAGCACCCTCGGTATATTTTTTCTTTATTCGATAGAAAATGACATTCTGAATAGAATGACATACCGTATATGTCAACTTTTGACATTTCAGCTTAAAAATAAATCGCATTTTAAATTTCATTCTAGAGTGCCATGGCTGCGTTTTTAACTAATTTTTAACACTAATTTTTAATCAAGGAGCCTTGGAAAAATATATTTGATCATCTAATGTTTTTCGTGTATTGTCCCTTAGTTAAAAGATGCTCAAATCGTATTTTTAATCATCTCAGTTTTTTTCAAATAGAACAAGAGTGGCTCATTAGCATATTTGGAAAAAGCATTTTTTTTACCAATAATTTGGTACCACACACTTCATATTTCGGTCAAGTTGTCGTTATGAACCGCAGGTTACAATTTCAAATAAACCATATGCGAAAATGTCAAAAGTTGACATATGATATGTCATTCTATACAGAGTGTCATTTTCTATTGAACAAAGTAGAAAATACTGAGAGTGTCATTTAAAAAGCATAAGTTTTAGTAATTTCCTGTGTGTCCAATCAATCCGAATTTATGTCATATACTAAAATACCAAATCTCGTTTTGTTATCTGAAAAAATAAAAAAGTTATAGGGGTGAGCCACTTTTGAGACGCACCCGGTAAGGGGAGGCCGCGGTATAGACTTTAAATATGTTTACTAATTTTGTGTATCCGTCTTTTTCAGTGTCTGCAGCCCCAGCTGCTGCAGCGCCCGCTTATGCACCGCCCACAGCGGCAGCGGGCGCCCCCGCCGCTCCACCACCTCCAGCTCAAAGCATCTTCGTTCCTCCGGTGGCCCCCGGCAGCAGCCACGCCTCTGCCTCCGCGCCCGGTCCCTTCGTGGACATCCCTGTGTCCAACATTAGGCGCACCATTGCCAAGAGACTTCTCGAGTCGAAACAGCACATCCCCCATTACTACCTCACCTCCGAAGTTAACGTAGACAAGCTGCTCAAAGTCAGGTCGACGTACAACAAGAAATTGGAGAAGAGCGGCGTGAAGCTTAGCGTAAACGATTTTATTATTAAAGCCGTCGCTGTCGCTTCACAAAAGGTAGGTGTAATGTTGAAATTTCCTACCGGCGACGTCGATTTTATTGAACGAGGTTAGCTGCAATGTTAAGTTTAAATTGACTGGCAGATAAAGCCAAGTTACACTACAATATGAGGATTTGAGTATGTGCGTTATTTTATTTCTTAACTCTTGAAATTGTTTTTTGTTTTCTTAGCTACACATCTACACTATAGATGAGCAGACAAAAAAAATTGTCTGCTTTTTATTCAAAATTTCGATATTAAATTAAGATTAAAGCTTCATTCAGAACCTCGCAAGTAGTGGAATAAATTAGTGGTTTCAATTACACTTTATATATTTTATTTTACGATCTTTCACAATGTTGAAAAAACACAATTAAACGTAATAGAATATACTAGCAACAGCTGGCGTTAGTTAGTCGTATCCATAGAGTAAGCCTAATATTTAGCTTATAAAACAATCAACTTTTGATTTTTGACCACAATTTCTCGTGACGGAAGATAATCAAAGGCCAAAATGACATTTCTCGCAAATTTTGAAGCATAATTAGTGGAAAAGTTAAAAATTTGATAACTTTTTCTACTAATTGAAAATATCTACCACGAATTTTGACGTTCTGTTAGGTTACAGTGTAATTAAAGGAACAAACTTCTACGCTTATTGGAACCACTAATTTATTTCACTAATTGCGAGGTTCTGAATGAAGCTTAAATAAATATTTTACCTATGTTATTGTTAAAGCACTATAATCTGTTTTTATTCTGAAGGTGCCTGAAGCCAACTCTGCTTGGATGGACTCTACAATTAGACAATTCAAGAACGTAGATGTAAGTGTAGCAGTATCGACGGACAAAGGTTTGATTACACCGATAGTGTTTGAAGCAAATAATAAAGGTGTAGTACAAATCAGTTTGGCAGTTAAGGAATTGGCGGCTAAGGCTAGACAAAATAAGTTACAACCACAAGAATTTCAAGGTAAGATACTTAAATAAGACTGAAATAATATATTCATTTTTATTTTGAAGTTCAATTCAGTTAATCAAAATTTATCTTCAAAAAGTTAAAAACATAAAATTTTAAATTATTTTTCACTAGTTATTATTAGTATAAAATTCCAAGTTTGAAATTTGTAACACTTTAGAAGTAAGTACCTACCTTAGAATTTTGATGACTGTGAGTGAGTCACTGTCGAAGTTTGAGTAGCACTAGTTCATAATCTTTGAATTATTGTTGTATTCATATACAAATAAAATCAGACGGACAGACGAGATCAAATGATAAATTTTGATAATAATTATTTCTTTTTTACTTGCCACTAAAAATGGAAAAAAAATAAAATTTCTTGTATCTTTCAGTTTAAAAGTTTGATGGTTGGTTCATACTTCTAGTATTAGTCCTAACCTTCCGTTAACATTAACTCTAAGAAATTAACCTTAAGAACTTAAGGAATTGCCGTTCATACTTCTCATACTTCTCTTAAAAATATTCTAGTATGCGCTTGCGGACATATGTAACGTATGTTTTGAGTTATCCTAATTTTACAAAAAATATTTTTTATATATTTATTAAGAATATACGGGAAGGGAATATTCTACAATATTCACAATAACAATAATTAAATATCTACCACGATGGTAATAAAGCTAACAATACAAAAGTAAATCTAAATATGTATGGATATATTTTTAGGATTTAGAAAACAAGAGAGACTAATGTTCTCAATTATAACATTCACTTGTTTGTGAATACATATTAATCATTTCTAGACTAAAAATATAAATAATTAGGTATTAAGATTTATAAACCGTTAAATATTCAATAATGTTTATCGTGAAATAACACGAAGTATAAAACTATTATTCTGTTTTTTTAGGTGGTAGCATCAGCGTATCTAACTTAGGTATGTTTGGTGTTGACTATTTTTCTGCCATCATCAATCCTCCTCAAGGCTGTATCCTTGCTATTGGAACAACAAGCACAAGATTAGTACCAGACGATAACAACGAAAAAGGGTAAATATACACGGATTGCCACACAACTTATCCATTAAAAGTTTTTAGGGCCTAAAGATATTTCGCGCTGTACATTCTTTTTAAATACTTGTTATTTCCTGTTTCGATTGTGTCACATTGCTTAGTTTACATAGAAGCTAGAGCTACAAACCACTTGTATATTTTATGCGTTTTGGAATTTAGATGAATTTCTAAACATATTTTGTATACCCTACTGCAGCAAAACCTTGGGTCGTCGTTTACGTGTCTAGGAGTGAGAATTGCTATGCCGCTCTAGCAAGTCGGAGAGAGAAAAATGCGAAGTATTTATTACATGACCACTTATTTCAATGCTAGATTTCATGCGCTTGGAAAAATAATTGCTCATCTTTCTTTATTCAGTACATCTTATTTTACTGAGCGTATTGGGCGTATTCTGTACACAGGAAAATCGACGCCCAAGGCCAGAAATGCCGACCCGGTATGATGGACTCTAAGTTAATCGTTTTTTAAATATTTTTAATTAAATGACAAAAACTAAATTTACTGAGCAGAATTAAATAATTATATATTTTAGGATATTGATGTATTTTTAAAACTACTCTGTCACCTTATAGAAAATATATATAGCAGCTCCAATTTCGTCATATGCCATACAAAAAAATATCCATATTGTTCAATTGCCACTAATACAAAGAGACCTAAAATAGGGAACAACCCAATGACTAAAGAATACAAGGACGTGTAACACCCATATAAAGGGCTGCAGCAGAATTTGTTACGTTAAACGCCGTCATATTGGAGCCTACGGATGAGTCACAACCTCGCCAGCAGCGACAATTTTAGCGATTTTTAATAATTTGTTGTGTGTAGTGAACTTTGTATAAACTGTATTACAATGGTGTTGAGCTTTCAAATGTAAAAGCCGCAATGATACTTGAATGAAGCTTTCAAATGTAAAAGCCAGGAGTTGCGTTTCATAAGTAAATAAACACTTCACTACACCTTTTTAGCGTTTTCTTATTGAATTTGGTAATTATTTTTCTGATATTAGATGTACTTGATATGTGCTAATCGTCGATACTAGTTTTGTACCTTTTGTTAACATTTTAATACGTTTTTTTCGTAATTAATTAATATGATACCACCGCCTACACCATAGGCGAGGTCAAAACATTTATCAAAAATATAAATATCCCTTCAAGTAGCTAAGTTAAGAAAAATAAAAATAAAGACCACGGCACTGTTTGGGTGACTGAATATATGACCACGGCACCGTTAGTCATTGGAACAACCTCATAAGGGGGACATAACCTCAAAAGTTATGTCAAATCGTTGAGCTTGACAGTTGAAAAGTAATTTTCACATTTTTTATGTGTCATCAGTTTGACGATTTGAAATTGGCGCGCGGAACTTGCCGACCAATGGTGCCGTTATCACCTCTAACGTAGTGACCAACCTGCGCAATATCATATTTTGTGTTTTCTTTGTATCATGGTCTATAAAAAGAACCATCTTTATTTTTTGTGCACTGCAAATGTTTTTGTCATAAAGAAGTTTAAACTTAGGTATAGAACATAGTCTGTTCAACGAGTCAAGAAAGATTTCGACAGATGACATTCAAAAAATTGCAGAAAAAAAAATTGCTCATGTATTAAAATGACAGACATAACTCTCACTGTCAGGGATTAATCTGTTGGATAGTCTAGGAACACAAAATGTGTTTAGAATTTCATGTATGTAGAATTTAAAGAGCTTAAAATATTGTTCTATTTAAAATAAAAGTAAATTGGTATCCACTTCTGGTTAAGCTGGAAGTGCCAAAATGTGAACAATAAAGTAATACAGGTAATACAGGTTGAATTTTCATTAACTTAGATTCTAAAAACTTTTAATGAATGTGTTATATGAAGAACTCTTTTTTATTTTTGTGTCCAAGCGGCACAATTCTATTTTGCTAAACTTTTTTTGTAGATTCAGAGAAGCTCAGTTCCTAACAGTAACACTCAGTTGTGACCACAGAGTAGTCGATGGTGCTGTTGGTGCCAGATGGCTGCAAGTTCTTAGACAATGTCTTGAAGACCCCGTGGCAATGATTCTTTGAAAGATTTAATGTGTTTTTACGATACAAAAAATGTATTTTTAAGATCAACCCGTTGAAAGGGACAGTCATCCATATTTTTATTTTATTTGTTATTCAGTTTTTAAGTTATTTAACAGATTTTAAGAGCTGAGTCGCTTAGCGCCTAAAATACTGGTTGTTATTTTAAAATGATAGTAGATTTTTAAGTTATTATAGTTATACTACTATCATTTTGTAAAATATCTGCATTTAAAGTAAATCACTCACTTTTTATTAATTTGCCCGCATTAGACGTGGCAAATTATTTGTTATATCTCTTGATTTCATGTAAATAATATAAACATTAAATTATATTGTACAGTTATTCTTGATTTATTTTCCTATTCTGATGAATGCGCCAGGATCAGGTATGGGACATTAAAGTTTTTAAGGCGGGTATACGTGCATAGATTTATTGGCGCCACTAACCATGCCAGTTCATCTTGCACACCAGTAGTGAAGGTTTATATTCTATGGTTTATATCCTGCATTGCCCACACAAAATTTTTGTTGAGCCAGTTTCATTTCTATGTAGTTTTGAGACAGTAAAACGAGCGATATTTTCCACATAATATCAAAAGTAATACAATAATTATGTCGGGATTGTAGAATTTTACGTAGATTGGTAGCAAAGAAAATAATGAACAAGTGGAACCAAAGTGGAACATATCTGAAAAATCAGAACAAAAAAAGCTGTGTGGTCGACGATATATTTTAGGTGCTTCTGCCAAACTTTTAGAAGAACTCCCAGAAGAAGGAAAGCTACAGAAAACATCTTCTGATGCCAAAAAAAATCTTTTTTAAATTAAATTCTATAATGATATAATTCCAGGACCGTTACCAATCCAATATTTTGTTTACTATATGAATCACTACTGGCACAAGTAAATTTCAGAAGCCTGCTGAATTTTTCAATCTACGCAACCATGATTTCAACTCTATTTATGATTTATGCTAAAAACCGTATCATGTGTAGACCCGCCTTTACGTATTCTATCGGCCAGCACCACCTCAACTCAAGGCAATCAACGTGATATGGGCAAGGCAAATATGGCGGCGAAGGCAGCACATTATTAAATTGTTTACCTTTAACCTGAAAAGCCGGTAGTAGTTTCTCGTTCCGATTATTTGAATAATAAATTATCTCTAGATTGTTGTGCTTCTGCAACACGTTTGTTGCATGGTGTGATCAGAAAATTGTGATAAAATAAGAGTGTAATAAAAATTCAAACCAGACACTCCACATAGGGAACTTCAAACTTTTGAGCTTGTCGTACTCCTGTATTATTAATTATTTTAAGGTAAGAACTAGAAGTATTTATCAAGATATTACACCTAAATGAGTAAACCGCCAGTCTGCATAGTACTTTATAAAGGCTACTTACAATAATCAAAAGATAGGTATTAAAGTGTTAACATTTTATTGTAGCATGTCTTTTACATGCTCTGTTCCAAATTGTCACGGGAATTATAGAGGGGGTCCCAAGGTTTCTGCTTTTATATTCCCCAAAAATGACGAGCTTCGTAAAAAATGGTCGACGGCTATTAAAAGAGATAATTTCACGCCTACTAGTAGTTCTCGGGTAAGAAGTGCATTAAATATGCCTCAAAAAGGCCAAAGGCCAAAGCCTCTGTTACCCTAATGAGGATGTAGTTATGGCTACTGCTTACACTTACCTCACTATAAGTAAAATATTGGAAGAAGAATCAAGCTTTTTATATCAAAAAGATCACAGAAAGATATTGACAACATTGACATTTCAAAATATAAATGGCCTGGATGTAAGTCTTTTTTTAAGTCACAATTGCCCCTCACATACGTCAGAATTTATTATTAAATCCATCTTGTTCAGAATATCCAATATTTTATTGAAGAACTATGCAAAAAAAAATGAATGACGTCTTTACCACAAAGACATGCCCTATGTAAAGAGAAAGAGCAAAGAAAACTAAGCTAAGCGTAAGTTTTACTTACGAACCCCCAAAAAGGTATTTAGTTTTTTTTTCTATATAAAACCTTGAAACACATATTATATTTTTTAGTTATCCTCACCTATTATAGTTTAAATTTATTCCCATTTGTGTAAGGCTGCGAAACATAGAAAAATATTCCATATTTTTTGATCCAAGCCAGTGGAGTTTAAATTCCAAGAGAATTTACCAAGGCATTTACTAAGACAAGTAACTTCCTATACTGCCCATAATAGTATACTAAGGGTCGGCATTTTTGGTCTTGGGTGCCGGTTTTTATGTGTACGAAGAGTACGGTCAATACGCTTAGTAAAATAAGATGTACTGAATAAAGACAGAAGGCGAGTATTTTCCCAAGCGCATGGAATCTAGCGTCAGATTAAGTAGTTATGTAAAAAATACTTCGTATTTTTGCTCACTCCGACTTACTAGATTGCCATAACGACTCACTCCTGTACATGTAAACGCCGACCTAAAGGTTCGCTTGCCAGCGGGGTATATTTATCAAACGTTCAGTAAATTCTAAACTATGGTAGGTTTGCAATATAATATTTAGTTTATATTGCTTTTTCTGTCATATATTTTTGGTTATTTCTTTTTCCGATGATTTTGAACATCCTATAAGTGCTACCTCAAGTTTGAATATTTTAACACTACCTATTTTCTGAGAAAGCAGACCTTTTTATAAAAAGTAACTAACTGATGTTTTTATAAAAGTAATAATACAAAAAATTGCATACTTATTTGGAGTCTTACAGGGAGTCTAAACCCTGTATATTAAAAAATGAGTGAAATATTACGTAATCTAACCCGACATTTGTGTGAAAAATGTCTATTTGAAAATAAAACAGGGTTTAAAATACGCGCCAAATAAAGCACTTCTATCTCCGCCATATTGGAAATGGTTGAACAGCCTTTGCCTGGAGGTGGTGGTGTATGGGCTGGTTAGAAATAGCATACATTAATGCGCATGATCACCGATTTCACTTTTACATCGTGTTCCATGTTGCCAAACTTTACTTATTTTCATATAATCTATCATGTCATGTATATGTAACGGTATGTTAAGGTCCGAAATAAAGTTAATCTCAATAATAACCGGCTAATCCCGAGAATAACAGAAAACAAAACAATCAAAAACAAATCCTAACCCAAACATTAACATGTTAATACCGACATTAACTCCATTTCGGACTTTAACCGTAACATATACATGAGAATTTTAATACTTTGACCATTTTTTAACAATGTACATAGTACAATATGATCGAGAAAAAATAGCGTCAGCGATGGCTGTGAAATGAAGATCGCTGTCATTTTATATGTAAAATTATATGGGGAATGTCATCGATGTTCATTTCATAGCTATCGCTGACGCCGTTTTTTTTCGATCATACGGTATTAACCATAGACAAAGAAATAAAAGAAATAAAAAAAGTAAAAAAACTGTTTTTTCTTTGTCTATGATTATAACTTGGTGTAACCATGATATAACTTTGTATAACCTAAGATAATTCTACTACGGTATAACTAAAATTTTGTAATTTAATAAAATAACTATAAAACGAAAATTAACATAGTATTTATGAGTGAAATTGATGTTTGATGTCATGGTTGTTAGGTTTATCCAAAGGGTTTATCCCTCTTTTATTTTAGACCTCAACAGTTTCTGTTGAAAAGCATAAACGGCATTAACTATTTTAGAAGAAGCGCTTCTTTAACATTTTAAAACAGAAAAAATATGACGTTAATTAAAATCTTATCAAACATGAAAACGAAATTATATTACCATTGAACGCGTTTTGAATTTTATGACTTAAAAAAATTTAAAAAAAAAATACATTTTGTTTTCATGTTTTTTTTTAAATTTTCTCTAAAACGATAAAAAATTCTCTAAAACGATAGATTTGTAAAAGTATAAACGGGTTTAAGCATTATAGAACAATCAATTTTTTTATGAAGAAACTCATGTTGACTGAGTTAAAATTTTAAATGAAAAAAGAATTTAAAATATTTTCAAGAAAACGAGATGATCTGGCAACTCTGATGAATTATATTCCATAACATGATCATTACAATGCACATGCGCAAGAACAACTTTGATTATGTGAAAGTACATTTTTGTTTTTTTCATTCAAGTCAGAAGTTAAATGGTAGTTAATTGTTATTGTTCAGTGAAAATAGTATCGACAAACTTGTTTTTGCCGTGCTAAAAATGATAATTATAACCAGTTAACCCTTAAGTAATTTGAGGACGCTTGTGATATTTATTTATATTAGTTCGTAAGGTTGTAGAGTGAATATATTCCTGTAAAATGCGGTATAAATCAAGGATGTTTTTTTTTGGCCTCATCTTAGCTTTCGTTTGTGTTAATAAGGTAAGTGGTAGATATTTAAATGTATGATTGATATACATTCTTTTTAGAGAAAGTATGTTGTAATATTGCTGCTCTTTTCTAGAATTTTCGCATGTTTTTATTGTCTAATCCTAACGGTATCTTCAAATATCAAAATTTTATATGGTATGATTAGATGGTTTTTATCGCAGTTTTTACCGAGTATTTGCTGTCTGTTAATAAAACGTTATAGTATGCTAAATATTTGAATAGTAATTTTCTATATTTTGTTTCCCAAAATAATAGTTCCACTATCAAAATACTTGACTTAAAAGTCCATTTAGGTTTTATGACTCATTGTCGTCTGACAAGGTGTGATAGAAAAGCATAATAGAAAAGTATTGTAGGTATTGATATTTAACGATGATAGTGGGCATAACATAAGTATTGTAAAAATGAAGATTTTAATATCAAGACGTACGTTTTGATGACAGACACAGATATACAATCATACGGGAAATTGCTTGGAAATTGACTTCAGAATGCTATTGTTTTGATGTGTCAAATTCAAAGCCAAAGATTTGTGATCATTTACGGTATTGTATCAAAAAGTTTTATGATCAAACGGGCTTTGACGTTGTTAGATTTTTCGTGGGAAATATTTATCTCAGTCTATCACATAGGTTATGTTCTATTATTTCTCTGCTATTATCACAAGGTTATGTATGGTCTATCATACAAATCACACTTGCTGACACTTGATTTTAAAACTTTTTGGTCTAAACACGAGTCTATACATCGGAAAGCAATAGCAAATAAATTAATTTGTATCTATTTATTTGCTTTCTTATGTTAAATACAAAATGCCTCCCTTAAATGGCTATTCATTGGAAAGGTATTTTACCATACAAGGGTAATAGGTACAACATATTAGGTGGTCCTATTTTCATATTGGTTTGTTCCAATGTATCATTATCACTCAATAATGAATGTTTATCATAATGTCAATATAATTATGTTTTTCGTAATTTGGTTAGTGTTACTGATAATTGAGGAGGTGTACAGATGACAAATTTTATATTTTCAGTTAAGCAAATAGCAAATTAAAAATTGAGCATTCAAGAGCTAGTTGTCATACTTCATACTATACATATACCTATACTGCCATTACCATTACTCGCTGACGAGTATTCAGAAGATGGTCTGGGCATAAGGGTCTTGATTTTTGATAGAAGTGTCTAGTCCTAGCAGTCAACTATTAAGCTTGATTAATTGACTAATTGCTTTCTCTATCTTTTGACGTTTTTGACAGATAGACTACGTATTTAACTGCTCAATTTACGAAGTGGTCCTATAAACATGGTATACCCTGCTCATAATTTGAAGTGGAATGTGGAATTAATTATAAGGTTTGGTTTGGGTTTGGTTTGGGAGAGGGCATTGGACAGATAGACACTTATTTCGCACAGCCGCGAAGAAAATTGAAAACGGGACTGTCGCTACTCCTGTGCGCTACTCGTTATATAGTCAAAGGAGTCAAAGGTCTTGACGCTAGTTGTCATATTACTTGTTTATACATTAGAATATTAAATATTTACGTAATTATATTATTTTCTTGAGGCAGTGCATGAGTCATGAGTCAGTTTATGAAAGAACTATTAGAAGATTAAACAACTTAAAAAAATACAATTTATTTAAGACAGACATTTTTGTCATTGTCATGTACCTATCTTCTCGTTGGACAGACTATACTAATAAGTTATACGTGTCATGTCACAGAATTAGTAATAAATAGGGTAACCCAGAACCCAGAGGGTAACCTATTTCTTATTGATGATAAATCAAAAGAATAGCTAAGTAACTATGATTAAGTACAATACCTGTATATTGTATTATCAGAAAGAAATAAGAAGCCTGGTAACAAAATTCTACATCAACCTATATAAAGCCCCAGAAAGCATACATAACGAAGAAAGATTGTCTCTACTACAAGACGACGGGAAATAGTAGAGTATATGGGACAACTTATACACAGCTCAGGATCTCTACTACCAAACCAGAAATCAGAGAAATTAAGTTAGCATCATCATAAGTTAGCATGGAGTACCTACATATGTATGTACATGGAAGAAATTCAGACATATTCAAATTAGAATGCCACTTTATCCAAAGAAGCGAACATTGAAAATCTTCTGGTGGATAGGAGGATTAGGAGGGCTAATGTGTACCATCACTCATGACCTATGCAAGTGAAATCTGGACACTTAAAACTGACATCGTAAGGAAAGTGCAGATCACACCACGCGCATTCGAATGAAACATGCTGGGAATACCAAAAAGACAGACCGTAAAATCTAGAGTGGATATGACAAAAGACCCAAGTAATAGATGTCGTTCAAAAAATCAAGTCCCTCAAGTGGCAATGGGTGGACACCTGGCAAGAAGGGCCCACGAGGAATTGAGTGACCTAGAAGAATATCAAACTTATGATGGGACCATGATATTAGGAAATTAGCAGGGATATCTCAGACTTAAAAGACCTTTAAATATCCTATTTAAAGGGACCCGATACAAAGCACATGCGATTAATGAATCGCTACTTATTGATCGCTACAAAAAATCTGTGCCACAGATTAAGTATTTCAATTGGGAATACATTTTTTTACAAAACCCAACAGTGCATGAAGTCTGATTAAAGCTCCGAGGTCATGGCGACGTTTATCAGCAAGATGAAATAAGCTAAGGCAATAAGTGCCACATCTGTAAGTTAGTCTGTGATCTGTGCAGTTAAAAATATTCAGTATCTTAAAAGATAGCAGATATTATCTCTTCGATGAGATCTTTTTCGAAGCCACCACTACACGTTCTGATTTCTGATCTGAACTGAATCGAAGAACTGTACATTAGACTGTACAGTTCAAATCTCTCAGATATCGTTGCATGTAGGATCTTTTTTATAGAAGGCACTTATTAGTAATACACGAGAAATAAATATATATATAAGGGAAATTAAAATAACTTTGGTTGACCACCAGCAAACTCCATAAGACGATGCATGGTGTCATTGATGACGTGCAACCAAAGTTGTTTTAATTTCCCTTTCTTATGTATGTCTAGATACCTATCTATTAAGTTAAAATTAGAAAATTACCCTGCTGGTCATCCAATTAATTTGGTCTGGATTTTAACGAGTGACAGAGAATAATATAAATGACCGGTTGATAGACAGAGAGACAAAATCAAAAGCGGCATTCAGTGTTGCCGATTTTTTACGTTTGTAGGGAAATGTGTGTAGAAAAATATATAAGCTATTTTAAAATCTTTCATGTATACTACTGAAATGATTATAATATATCTAAACTAAATATAATCTATTACAGCAGTAGTAAAATGAGTAACTAATAGTGTAAAATAAAGTTCCAACCCTAAATGCAACATTTTTTGTAAAGGCCTGCTTGTGCTGTTTGAAATTTTGATGCAAAATCCGGCAATACCGCATAAAAGAAATGTGTCGACCCAATTTTTATCTCTTTTTAATATATTTGATTTTCCGTTAAGCTGTCTACATCACTGTCTTACACGTTAAAATCCAGACCGTACAGTTTCGATGAACAAATCGGTATAAACACCTAAATACTGAATACTTAACATGCAAATTTGAGAGGAAATTACTTTTAATTTATTTATCAAAATTTTAATCTTTAATTAATACAAGGAAAACCTTAAAATTAAACATTAATATTCTAGTTTTAATTATTAGGTATTATCTTGTTATTATGTTTTTAATAAATTCCTTGTTTATGACTATTTTCTTTGCTTAAATAGTAAACAAATACTGAGAATGATTCATAAAGCAGAGCGTCTTTTTCTTTGAATCTACTTTGATTTGGTAGACAAGTAATTCGATTTATTACAATTACTCACATTACTTACAATGAATGCCTATTTTTGATTCAATTAAAGGTCACGTTAACCTCTGTGAAAGTTTGGATGGTTTGTTCTCAACGCGTTCAATTAAAAATTGATTAGTTATTGATGAGATGGATTAAACTAAATTAAATAAGTATAGTTTGTTGAATGAGAGAATACCTATATGTTGGTGGTAGTTGTCTGTTGTTTTAATTCAAAACATAATAATTTTTTGTTTTCTGAACGAAATTTTTTGATGTCGTCAGGATTCCTTCGAAATCCTTCCTCCGAAATCCTTCCTTCTCTCTCTGAACAGAATTTATATTTTGCAAATACGTTTAAAATAAAGTATACTGAGGGTACCGCTTAAATTCCTATCCCGATATTGAAGGATGGCTATAGAATTTCAATGCATTTCCTACATAAGTCTATCCTTGTGTTGTAGGAGGTTTGACTAAACAAGGATGAACCTATGTCTTGAAACCATTCGACTCGATTTTCTGTCCTCCTTCAATACTGGGACGTAAATCCTCTCATTGCTCTTATGGGGGAGACCGTTGTATATTTTATTTAAACGTATTTGATATTTTGTATCACTTATATACCGTATGATCGAAAAAACGGCGTCCAGTTGGCTGGGAAATGACGATCGATGACATTTCCCATATATAAAATGACAGCGATCTTTATTTCATAACCATCGATCGCTGACGCAGTTTGCGTTTTTTATCATACGGTATTATTTGTAAACATTTGTTATATTCGATACTAATTAAACTTTTAGTTACGTAATCAAGGGCGCGATTATTAAATTCATTGTTGCCAACCATGACATATTGGCGCTGGGCTGACTAACTGGAATTTTAATTTCCCGCTGGAGATTCAGGTGGCAGCTCTGCTCTAAAAAATGTCATGTTGCCACATTTATTTATTTATTTCCTGACTTGTCATTCGTTTTGACGCTTTAGTTTTGTATTACGAATTTTTTTGTTTAAATGAATTGTGTTGTGATACTTTAAGCTTAAAAATTTTTACTAGCAGACCTTGCAGTCAAACATTGTTTTTGTGAATCTCTTTTATTACGAAGTGTACAAGAGACAAACTTAATAGCCGTAAAAACTCATCGCAACTTT